TAAACTGCACTTTATTTACAGATTAACAGAACTCAAACGCTTTTAACCGACTTCAAAAAAAGGGAGGTTATCATCTCGCCGGAATACATAACTTTGGACCACGTGAACCGTTTTCAATAATCCTTTTTTTATTAGAAAGATAGTACCTCAAGGTTCGTCCCGTAATTTGTTTTAGAGATCCGATGATTGGATCCTGAAGAAGTTAACGGTACCCCTAAATTTGAATATGAGAATTGAAGTCGGTTGTGTTCTTTCCTTAAAAACTACTTGTTTAATAAAAAGTTCTATAAACTCAAGATGCGCTCAACTTTCAAAAGTACCTAATAAAAAATTTAACAAAAGAGTCAGTAAAAATAAATTTATATTTATATTTATTTATATATTTTATTTATATTATTTTATTTATAAATTCCATGAATTTTTGCACTTTTATGTTCATTTTTTCGATTTCTGGTTTCTGGTTTTCGATAGATGGTGATTTTTCACGATTGCTAAATTTTTTTAATATTTCGAGTTCCGAAAAAATTAACTGAACTCTCAAGAAAAACGAAAAATTCATATAAAACGACGGACGAGAAATGGAAAAGAAATTTTCTTCTACCAAAATTTCTTAAATCAGTTTGCAGCTCTCAAGAAAAAAAATGCTCGTATATTTATTTCCTCATGAAAATTTACAGCAAAAGCAAAGCGCTTTTTCAAGCAACAGAAATTATAATAAATATTTCTGATAATTTCCTTGAGAGCTGGATTCTTAGCTTTAAGATACAGTTTGCATTTGAGGTTATTAGCTTTAGGGGGGGTTTGAACCCCAAAACCCACCCCTTGTGTGCGCTAATGTGTACATTTAACTCCAATATTGTAATTACTACGTCATCTCGACTGACTTTTGTTTAAGGAATAATTGTAGCGTCTCGCCATTTTTGGCACCTTAATTTATTGAATTAGTATGTATGTAAATTGCAGTTAATAAACATAAGACAAAAGTTTAAGAATTTCACTTCCACTTTCACACGGTAAATACTTTTCGTTTTGGGTATAAATTTCAGGCGAATTTAAGCGAGGCATTTAATCACGTTTTGCACACACAACCCTCTCCATCCATCAGTTTATCACACACAACTTCAATTAATTTACCAACTTCATAGTTTAGAATAAAAAATTATGCTAGAATTTTCTGTGAGAAACAGTTTCTTCATCTTCGGTTTCGCTGTGTTGACGGCGGCAAAATCGTCTAAAAAATTATCTTGGTGTGATCCGCAGCTATGTCCAAATGGAAAGCGACACATTGCGTGCGGCCACGATGGGGTAAGCAAAAACTCATACCCATACACATATATATGTATATGAGCATAGTTGTTAATACCCCTTTGCAAATTAAAAATTGTGCGCTAACCTCCATTTTTATTTACCTACCATAGAGAGCCACCGCCGCCTGCCCACCCGATGCCGTTATGATCGATATACGCTCACACAAGAAGGAGATTCTACACGAGCATAACAAACGTCGTAATTTTGTAGCGCTCGGTCATTTGCCTGGCTATTATCCCGCCTCGCGTATGGCCACCATGGCGTGGGACGATGAGCTCGCCTTTCTCGCCGAACTTAACTTGAAAATGTGCTATGTGGAGCACGATGACTGCAACAATACGCCACGCTTTAAATCAGTTGGACAAAATCTATCGGGCGTTGCCTACCAAAGGCAGGGTGTTAACATAAGCGAAGTCATAAGCCGTTCGATGGGTTTGTGGTTTGGCGAATATCATTTAATCAATAGCGGTTTTATTGCAAGTTTCAGGGTCACACGCCAATTGTAAGTAAAATCCTAAGAAATGCTCAATAACTTAAAATTAAAAATTATATTTCGTATGCTTTTCCTCCTTCTTTGCAGTGAGCAGTATGGTCACTTCGCGGAGTTCGTTGTGGATCGTAATACACATGTCGGCTGTGCTGTGATCCGTTATACTAATCCTGCNAATCTATCGGGCGTTGCCTACCAAAGGCAGGGTGTTAACATAAGCGAAGTCATAAGCCGTTCGATGGGTTTGTGGTTTGGCGAATATCATTTAATCAATAGCGGTTTTATTGCAAGTTTCAGGGTCACACATCAATTGTAAGTAAAATACCTAAGAAATGCTCAATAACTTAAAACTAAAAATTATATTTCGTATGCTTTTCCTCCTTATTTGCAGTGAGCAGTATGGTCACTTCGCGGAGTTCGTTGTGGATCGTAATACACATGTCGGCTGTGCTGTGATCCGTTACACTAATCCTGATTTCCCATTACATCACATCTATAACATGGCCTGCAATTATGCAAGCAAATATGCTTTGGGTATTCCGGTTTATCGGGTGGGCACACCAGCTTCAGAGTGTAAAAAAGGCAAAAACCGTTACTATCCGGGCTTATGCTCTCCTAAAGAGATATATAATCCTCACTATGAATAAGGCAGTGTGCAAAACAATACTTATTAAATAAAGACTGAATTACGAGTTATAAATAAAAAAAAACTTGAGGTTTTTTGTAAAGAGTTTTGACCGGTTCAAGGTCTGTGTCTCCAATGGCTGAAGATTGGGATGCAGTCGCGGCATTCCTAGGTCGATAGTTGTGGTAGATTGTGCACCGAATCTTAATTAGCAGTCGGTATGTCGTTGAGTCCAACGGTCTATATATGTAGGTCTGTTGCCCATATTTTCGGAAATATGCTTTCTGACGTGTCTGGGCGGAGGCTCTTCTTCAAGCAGAGGTCTATTGGC